AAACGATGCGAATCATCCCATCCTGGACGGACAGACGGGCAACGGCATCGGCCGTTTCAAGAGGGTGTTCGTCAAGCACAACTCTATCCGCAAGGTGTGTGTGTGTGTTTTTTTTTTTTTTTTTTACGCGCCGGAGTCGCACCAAAGCAGAAGCTTCGATTGGTCGTCTCACATTTTTGCTGTTTACACAGGACAAGTTCTTTTTTTTTCGTGTGTTTTTGGTAGAGGAGAGCAGTGAGTGATGGAAACACCTAACCCGCCATGCCATCTGATGTGTCTTCAATTATTTGTTTCGACCGCTAAAGCCAGCTGGTCAACCAATGCATGTGTGTGTGTGTGCTTTTTTCGTTTGTTTCCCGGCGGTTTCAGGAGTCCGATAAGGCCGAAGGCGTTTTCATGGAGACCCTGTGGGCGGCGATTGTGCTGGTGGGGTGTTCGGTGACTACTTACCTCACGGTTCTCGTCGTCAGGTGAGAAAATCAACAAACATTAACAACAAACATTAACAACAAACATTAACAACAAACATTAACAACAAACATTAACAACGAACATTAACAACGAACATTAACAACAAACATTAACAACGAACATTAACAACGAACATTAACAACGAACATTAACAACGAACATTAACAACGAACATTTACAAGCATATTGTGCTACAGCAAAGTATAGATTGTAGCGCATTGGGTGTACCCTGGTTTGTTGTCCTCGCCAAATGAGCGGATTGGCTTTTGTAGTCATGGCCCTACCAGCAAAGGAAGGTGAGAAACAAGCCACCCGCAGCAAACACATTTGTGCATATGGGCCAATTAGAGAAAACCTGATTTTTTCCTCGTCACACCGAGCGGCGGCTGTTCTAGTTACGGCACTCATAAAGGAAGGTGAGACGAAACAATCATACCACAAGAAGAGAAAATTATATTCACAGTACGTGCGATATACAAAGCGGAGAAATGTTGAGATTTTTCGTAAAATGTCGAGCAGCGACAATTTTCAGTCATGGCACTCGAAAAGAAGGAAGGCGACAAACAACCGTAAACGAGAAGACAAAAGAGAAGAGCACTCCCACCCCCTGGTGACTTGAGAGGTTTTGCTCTGGTCGAGCGTCTTTGAAGCTTTGTTTACCAATACCGTTGCGACGATAATTTCCTATCCATGCCCGCTGCTTTTCTCCGTGGCAGGTGTGCGAGAGGCGAGAAAGTGGAGTTGCCCGTCCCTACCAACCCGGACCTCGATCGCTCTCGAAGATGATTGGCCCGAGCGATTTTTTGGCGCGAGTTGATTGGTCGGAGATGGTGCGGGTCAACCGGTGTGATGCGATTTGTTGGAGAATGCTGCCTCTCGGCGTGGCAGGAAAAACGATCGGGATAATCGATCACCATCGTCGTGTTCCAGAGATTCCCACGCAAGGGGATGGGCGGGGCGAATGCCATGTTGTCAGGGCGAGGGTGTAGGACAAGTGGCAAAGCCGTTGCTCAGGCATCGCCTCTTGGAAAGTGTCGGTTGAAACATGTCATGTGGCGGTATGCCTAATAGCTGGGGCCCGATTGCTTGGAGGGAGGCGACTGAGGTGGTACGTGACTTGGCTTTGTGGTCGGTCGAACGCGATTGTCCTGGGTCCAGAACATCGCTGATTTGGTGTGTCAGGTCAATTTTTGTCTTTCACCGCAACGCTATTGATCGTGTGCAGCAACGAGTCGGTTTTCCTTAAGGAAATACCGCCCCATGACGAGGAGGTCGGATGCCGCGCCCAGAAACTGTGCTCTCCGGAGATCATGTCACCCTAACATAACATATGTAGTTAGGTCTAGTCGCACCCCGGCCCCGGTGTTGAAGGTTACTTTTATTTTATTTCAAGTTGGAACACTGTTGGAGGATTTTTTGAGGGGGGGGGGGGGGGGGGGGGCAGACTGGGACTTCAAGAAAAAGAGGGGGGCTCGAATGTCTTCGAGAAGCCCACGAGGTTTAGACAGAAAACCTCGCAAGAACCTCATTGTTCCAAATTTAGTCGTCGTCGCAGGTAACTGTCGGTGGCTTGCATGTTGTCGGCGCCGTCTCGGTTGTGAGTAACAACTAATTTCATGTCCGTTTGACATCATACATGAACGTCCCTTGCTGCTAGATCTTCGCCTCCGGCTCGCAGAAAAATAACGACAACAAGCCTCGATGATCAACACTTATACACGAAGTCAATTCTGCACTGCAGTCCTAGGCCAGGACCAATCTTCGCCGCCAAAGACTATCAGCCTGGTCCCTAACTCAAGAGGAACGGCAGGAACCGCGTTGTGGTTCGCGTATCGATAGGACAGCTAACTGCGTCAGTGAGCTCACCAGCATCCACCGCACTATACGCCCCGCCAGTGACGGGATCGAGATCGCCCACAGGACGGAGCTCAGGGCCAAGGCGACGGGGCCCATGGTGAGCGCGAACAGCAGCCTCTCCAAGCCCCCCACCGCTCGCTTAGCGATCGGCCATTCCGTCATGGGCACCAACCCGTCGCCGCTGTCACGTGATGCTTCTGAGGAAGCAGCTTTAGCATTGTTGCCGACAAGGATATTGCCGCCACCGCCAACACCAGGACCACTCTCTCCCTTCACTTCGTCTTCCGAAGCGTCGAAGGCAGGCGCAGCAGCCGGGGCGGTGAAACCCGCAGCAGCGCCGGGCATAACAGGATCGACATCCCGTGCCGATATCATGCCCGGCCCCTTTCGTTCTTCGGGGCGCCGGCGAGGGTCACTACCGGCACCACCGCTGGCGGGGACGGCGGCGGAGGAGGCCACAGGACGAGCCTTCCCGCAGCCGGAAAGAAAACGAAGAGATTTGCCCACCCAGTGGCAGATCTCGCCGAAGACATCCACCACGATCAGGATGGCCGCCATGAGCAGGTTTAGCGGCGGCGGGAGACGGCCACCCTCCACCGAGGCCGCGCTCGCCTGTTGTGGTTGGTCGGGGGGGGGGGGGGGGGGACGCAGAAAGTACAGAGCGACTAAGTCACCAAAGAAGAATGAAAACACACCGCAACGCCTGCAAGCAGCGTCAAAGCGATCTCGGTAGCACAAGCGCCATGCATGTCGAGAACAAGACTTTTTTTTATTATTATGGACGGTTTGAGGTCCAGGCTCTATCTTCCTTGTACCCTGTCCATGCCACTATCATCTACTCCGGGCAATCGAACCCCCATGACGGGGCGATGCCCTTCAAATTCGGCCGTGCTCCCCTCTTTCCAGATAATGGAGGGAGATCGAAACCAAAAACCCGTAGAGGCGGAATCGCTCTGAAATTTAGGCAGCGTGTGTATTTGAATCTCGCTCTGCGGTCTGCTTTGGCTTGAAAAAAAAACGCAAGACCCAGGGAAGGGGCTCTTGTGAGCGTCGTGGTCACCACTGGACGGGGCGCGTGTGGGTACAGGATCACTCCTCGTGTTCGCTTGCTTGTGTCTAGAAAGGATCGCTCCCCACGTTTATCTCCACTTGTTTTGAATATATCCCTCCTCATGATCATTTGCACGTGTCTGGACAGGAGCGGTTCGCACATATTTTTTTTACGGCGAATGGACACCGAAAACAGGCGGTGGATCCGTGCCTACGGTACGCAGTTCTCATTGCGTGGAACGAACGGGACGAGCAAGTAGGTCTTGATCCGGACGATTCTGGTTCCCCGCGAAACACAGCAACACACAACACAACCACCCGACCTGCGGAGCTCTAAGCTATCCGAGCTGCTGAGACCTCGCGTCCAACCAATAGAGGCTTGCTGTGCTTTTGCTCGGCCCCGCTACGCCTTGTTCCGTTGGCACGTACCTCTTCGGGTCGACCCCTTCGAAAAAGCTCGTAACTCGCCCACGTCAAATCGCATCATCAACACGTCACACACGAAAAAGCACCTGAATGAACTGGCTGCGGGCTAGGTGGAACTCCGTGATAGCGTTCTCGCTGACCGTGTCGTGGACAGTGCTGAGTACGGCGATCAACAGATTGAGCATCAGAATCGCTTGCAGGACAATGTATATCGTGAGGAGCGTGATGCCAGCGTCGAACTCCCAGGAGGGGCCGGTGCAAGTCAAGTTCCTGTCCGCCTCGAAACGGTCGAAGTTGGCGTCTGAGAGGAAGACGAGGGCGCAAAAGAACCGGTCGAGAACGACGACACACACAGCAACCGGCACCGAGAGCCAACGCTTAGGAATTCTTGAGCTGATCCACTTCGCAAATCAAGAAACCATGACGTATCGACGTTGGCTCGTACACGTCAAGCCTGGCTACGGATGGCTCGAAACGGTCGACTCTGGGGGTCCAACAGAGGGGAGTACGACAACGCTCAACCAGCACAGCTACAGTTGTTTCTGTCGGGCAAGTAGGTAAAGTCATTGGGTTCCTCCTGGGCATTGGCCAACCTTGAGGCGGGCCAGTGTATACACCGTGTTCTGGCCCTGATCGAGACGTAATGTTAGCGAGATCTGGGTCTGAGCCAGGCAGGGTGCGGAGACGCAAGATCAACGACAGCAGTAGTACACGAAAGAGCAATAGCATGGAAGGGCAGAAGCAGGCACTGTTCGAGAACCATGAATGCACATAGTTGCTGGAGCCAACCAGAGAGATAGGCCTCGACATTGCGAGTTCTGGTCGTGTTTCAAACGCTCGACACCTGACACAAGGGAGTGGGGGTTACGAAATAAACCACAAAGAGAGAGGGGCAACAAACGACTGGGGCATTTACCGGAAGGACAACGCCAGGCAAACCCGATAGACACGCCCCAAGAGGGAGAGTCGCACAGTGGTTGTCAGTGTCGAAATAAATCGTCAAATCGACGGTACGGCTTTGCTGCAGCAGGCTCTCCGCAGAAACATTCAGGTGACGACAACGACCAACAACAACAACAACAACAACAACAACAACAACAACAACAACACACGTTTGCCAGTGACAACTATCGAGCACCAATGGCGGTATGCATACCTCCGAGCATAGATCTGAACATGTCGAGAAGGGATTCTCTGAGCGTCCTGTACGACTCGAACAGCTCGTCCCCCTCACTGCAGTTGGGGTCAGAGTAGAGCGAGTGGAACGCCAGTGCAAAGCTGACCATCACCACCAACATGAAGACCGAAAAACGCGCGAGGTGAAACAGCATGTTCCAGATTATCTGTGATTCGGTAGGAAGCCGGAGAGTTGAGGGACAGTGTTAGTGAGAATTTCGTCGACAAGGAGGAACTTGAAAGCATCGGCCTTTCCATAGGTGTGGGAGCGTGAGAGGAAGAGAGGGGGGGAGGGGGGGAGGGGGGGGTAGAGAAACCGACCAAGTTTGACTCCAATAATGTTGCAACCGGCGCGAGTAAACGTGCCACAAGACAAACACCCACGAAGAAGCCAAAACTGAAGAAACAGCATGACATTGAAGAGGCGCGCAAACCGTGATCATGATCGTCTTGCGGTCAACCAAGACCTCAGAAAACCAACACCATGCCGACCGATGTAATGTGATGGACTACTACCTTTCGACGCAATATACCACGAGACCAAGCATCCAACCGCCTCTGATCTATCGTGACCGCACCTGCGTCATGGGGCCGAACGTGTTGTCCACCTGGGCCAGGGAGAGCACCCTCGCGAAGAGGAGAGGCGCGATAGCGGCGAGAGAGAACCGTGCTATGAAAAACGCCTGGGACGAGAAGCAAAATAGGGAAGGGCGGACAGTGGTGATGCAGTAGGGTGAGATGGATCGTCTTCGAAATGATTACATTTGAAATAGAATAGTGGCTTCGTTACCCTAACCATAACTCCCAACCAAAAACCGTTACAGTACCCCAATCAGGAAACTGCGTGCCACAAACCTTTTCTCTCTGCCACAAAACCTTTTCTTTCTCCAAGCAAAGGCTACTGGGTGAGAAGGAGCGGGGGGGTACTCATGTGTCGAGGTGCTGTACCTGTAGGTTGAAATAGATCTGTGCCCCTTGACTGCACATCTCGTTTAGGTTCTTTCATCTCCTTCAACGCAAGGGGTACTCATTGCCAGCCCCAGCCATAGTCTAGTCTTCCGACGACAGGCCCTCCCATCCCTACAACGCTGGGATCGAAATCCCGGATGGGGTCACGAACATTGCCGGCGCGACACAACGTATTTGAACCAGTACTACAGAACGTATGTGGCTGCGGCAGGTGATAGTCGGTACAGAGGTGGTGCCGTATGTCTACGTCGTTATTGATGGCAAGGGAGGCAGTTGCGCTGTTCATATCAGGCCATCGCAAGAACCCTAGCGGCTGCTAGAAAAGCTCTGCGCACGGTAGCGTAGGTGCTGCGCGGGGCAAATCATGCCCTTTGATGCTTGCCTGTCCTATCAAGGTGTTGCCAAGAATGGTGGTGGCAGCCTGGGCGAAGTCCGCGATGTACGCGATAATGCGGAAGATGAACGCCAACATTACGCAGAAAATGGACGCCGTGTCCAAGATGTTCCAGTTGTCCTTCGAAAAGTACCTGCGAACAAAGAGAGAACGAGAGCATCACGCACGTCCGAAAAAGGGGGATGTTGAAACGACTCGAAACGCATCAGCAACATCTTGGAAACAGAGCATATGAACACTGAAATGCTTGCGGAACTACACGCGAATACGGGGCCAGGAAACAAGGGTAGATGGAGGGGACTACTCACACGCGAAGAAGCAATGACCCAGGGAAAGGAAACTGCCATCCAGAACACAGAGCGGCAGCGTGCGACGTGAAATTTGCAAACGTGTAACACAAGGGGTTGAGGCATCCAACCGTGCGAAACAACGCGACGAAGAAGAACGACATAGGCGAGCCCTTTCGACGGGGAAGAACAAGAGACACGCACACACACAAGAGACCACCAGGCGGGAAGAAAGACCCCTTCGAAGAAAACCGTTCTACACGCATTTTCTTCTTGCATGCATGCACACAAGCCTCTGCGGAGGAGATGCACACCTCCTCAAGCCCGACGTAACGCGGCGCTGCGATAATCCGGACCGTTCTTCCCTCGCCCTCGCTGCTAAGGAATCCGGCTCGGAGGAACCATGATCTTCACCATCGTCCGACGACATTGTGGCGTCAGAGGGGGAGGAGGTGGGGCTCGAGGACGATGATACCGACGGAGGAAGGGCGTCGCGAAACTCCAAAATCTCCCGAAACAACAAGCCCTGGATAGACATAAGAACGAATAATGAACAAAAGCCAAATTTGAACCAACGAATCAAACGGGCCGCAGCGAAACGAAGTCTAACCAGTAACCTCTGGTTCTCGACCGGGTTGGAGCGGCCGAAATCATTTCTGGTATTATAACCTTACCGCGGCGAAAAGGTAGAACAATATCTCGTCCGCAGGGATGATGTCACTGTACTGGATGGCCACGCTCGACCAGTACAAGCCCAGCATCACCCTAGACAATTGAGCCGAATTGGGGTACGTACCGAACCCGGGAAGGGAGGGGGCGTCAGGATCAGTTGACAATTCGTCACAAAAGACGCCATCAAAGTGTGCGGGGGGGGGGGGTAAGGGGCGCGGCATGCTTTCTCTCGTGTCGTGTCCTTCGGACCAACAACAGCTTGGGCAAAAGGCCGGCCAACACCACCAACGTTGTGTTTCCCGTGAGTGCTGCGGAAAATAAGAGAAGACAACACTAAATACGAGCTCACGCCACAAACCAATAACCCCATGGCACCCACGGAAGTCTCGAAGAACAAGAGAATGAACAGCACTGAGCCCGGGACAACAGTTCTCACTCAGCCGCGGCGAGAAGGGCTACTGCTCGAGCCTTCTTTTCCTTCTTCACGCACACAAGGGGGTCGGCATCAAAAGATTTCACCGATCAACATCGAAGAGGCCCGATCACAAGACTGCTGCGTCTTCAAGCAAGTCAAAACACAACAGGTTCGCACTCAAACACCAGCCTTGATACGGTACATAGAAGAAACAGCGGGGTCAGACCGAGAGTTTGCCACCCTCGGAGGGGTACCGAAGTTCTCGAATTACACAGAAGCAGGCACGGGGATGTCCAGAGGGCTTGCTGCAACCACCAACAAAGCTTTCGCGCGCGCTTGCGACGAGATAATTCGAATGGCCACGAAGCGTGGGACGTCCAATGGGCCGTCCCACGAGTCGCATGGGACGTCCCAAGCGTCCCATAGGACATCCCATACGAGCCTCCAATAACGTCACGCCCAGAAACGCACACTCGTTTCCAAAAAGCCAACCAGCACTTCGACCTCTACGTAGCAACCTAGAGCGAAGCCAAAGCGAGAGCAACGCCCGGTGCCAGCTCGGAGGTTACGACTGAGGGATTATTCACAACAGCATCCGCCGCCGGCGAGACCGACCGAAGACATGGGCGTGCGCGAACGACAACAGCAGCAACTCACAGGTAGCTGAATGTTTCGAACATGAACCGCACGAATGGGACCAAGAAGAAATCGGTGGGCTTTCCGAGGAGACCGGCCAACAGGAACTGAGTGCCCGGCAGAACCGTGGTGTGCGGGAAGCCGTGCAACAGGTGTTTCTCCTTGAAACGGAGCACCCTCGTCGGCCCCCTGTCCCACCCCTGAAGGAGCCTGCCGAAGTTCATGGGAAACCGAGAGTCTCGTGTGAATATTACCGAGGTTCACTCGACAAGAAACGAGAGAAGATACCAGACACGAAGCAAGGAAACCTACCGATGGATCCTGAACAAGAAACGAGGGAAGATGCAAGGCACCATGAAAGGAAACCTACACCCGACAAAGAAACGAGAAAAATCAAACGACGCCCAGCAAGCATCCAACATGAAATAACAGGACCAGCGTGTCGCCAAGAGCGCGTCGGTTTCTCTCTCTCTCTCTCTCTCTCTCTCTCTCTCTCTCTCTCTCTCTCTCTCTCTCTACCTCCCTCCCTCCCTCCCTCCTCTCTCCTCGCAGGTACCTTAGGAGCGACTCTTCCGCCGTTGTCCCGCCGCGTTCGAGAAAAGTGTCCCCGATGTCCACGCCCTTTTCGGGGAGGGTGTATTTTCCGTTGCCGCTGCGGTAGGTGGAGAAGCCCTCGTTGATGGTGTAGTCGAGAGGATTACGGCGGTCTAGGTTCGGCGTCGTACACTTCCACTTGAGTTCCAGGTAGTCCAGCACCAGAGGAGCGTTGATGAAGTCATGCGCGTCGGAACCTTGCGCGAACCAAACAAAGGCAACGGTAAAAAAACGAAAGAAAGACTTGCGCAGGGCGGGCTACTGTACATCATGATGGGAGGGAATTGTCGATGGCGCGCATCAGAGATCTCTCGCACACCCAAAATTCGAGAGAGCGTAGAGCGGCTAGTCTACAGGTCTATGTTTATTCGTTTGTGTTTTGGTGATAACTTCAGTGTGATCGCGGGGATGTGCATCAGGATGTAAAACATTCTGAGGGAATGCATGTCAAAGTAAATGAAACGCAGAAGGCGACACAGAATCAATAGCAGCGGCGTAACCAACTACACCCATGATGCATGCCATGGAAGCACACCAACAACAACTCAACGACAAGCAACAGCGACAGCAGCACTAACAGTCCGCCACATACCTTTCGTTAGCGCCTGCTGAAGAGGGTCGAGGTCCTGCAGGGTAGCAGAAATCATCTTCGACACTAGCCAGCTGTCCATTCGATCAACAAGGCAACCACACACGGCGAGATCAAAGCACCGCCAAGGAACGCGAAAAAAGAGTAAACATGGGCACGGTTAAGGCCAACACGGGACAGCATAGTCACCGAAACAGGGACGGACCAGGGACAGAAAAGGGGCCTAGGGCACGGAAGAGGGAGTTCTACAACGTTACCGGCCGATGGCATCCCGGGGAACGGTTGCAACGGACCGGCAGAAGTAAAGCAGGACATAGAGGAGCACAACAGCTCTTCCTAGACAATAGAAGACAGCGACAAAACACGTGCCCTCTCCGGCTTACCGAGACAACTACTTCATTGAGCGCCTAAATAGCCGTAGGCCGTGTGACAAGAGGTTGCACGACAAAAAGTGCCCTTAGACTACAACGAGACCACTCATTGCCAAGCCTCCCGGCGACAATAGATCATTATCAACGAGACACCAAAGTCAACTTGCACCCGAAACTGGTACTCCACAACCCGGACGGCGAGGGAGCCAAACAGATTTCGGGGGGGGTTCCAGCTGAATGTGCTCATTTCTGTTCATCCTGGCATTTGGCTAACGCGGAGCGATATATTGCTCCCGCATCTCGTGTGGTCGGTATATGAACCATGTGCTGCTGTTTTCATTCATTTTCATCAACAGTTTTCCAGGCACTTGTACGCGCCTCTGTTTATCCTTGGGACCTGAGTTGAGACTGGGCTCCAGCATCCATCGCTACTCGGAAAAGGCGGGAGCAGCCGTCGCAGACATGGCGGGAGGGACAAGGAGGGATGCGGCGGTGGTAGAGGACACTGAGGTCGGGAACCAGAAACTCTCTTAAAAGAAAAGCAACAATCCTGCCAACTGCGGTCACCCTACGTAGCAAAGACATTCCAGGAAAAGCAACCTTCTCGAACTTGCCTTACACATGCTCCCAAGACACTACAGAGGGCAAACGCCTTCTCGTCAAGGGCTTGCTGAGAAGCGATTGCGATCTGCTTGATGTCCTTAATCCCCCCGCCCTCCCAGTCTAAGATCAAGCAGTGGACAACCTAGCGTCAAGAAGGTCAATCTGAAACGAGGCCGGGATTTGTGTGTTGCATCAATTTTTTTCTTCCAGGGCTCATCCTGTCTCCGCAGGAAGGCTCATTTCAATTTCAGCGCATGGTTATCTACTACCACCTGTCCTTCACAAAATACTTGTACTCACTCCGCACCGATCTCAGCACATCTTCATTCCACACGAGCTCACACCCTCATGCCAAACGTTGGTTTCAGACCAATATTATTAACCGTATACTATTTCATTCTGCACTGCCCTTGACGTCCACCACATTGTCTTCGTACCCATATTGTATTCCTGATCTTAACACAAGTTCTTGGTTCAAAAAGCTTTCCTCCTACACACAAGCTCGAACTCGGGTTTCTCAACTTCTACCAAAAATGATCTGGTTTCATTCTACACGAGCTCGATCTCCTTGCACGTTTCGTTCAATTTCGCCGCGCCTCAAACTCATTGTCAACCGCCGCACGCTTCATCCAAATCAAGGTTTCAGACACGTTTATGCGGACCCTCGACTCAACATGGCGGATGCCCTCGGCGAAGGATACCAAGCTGTTGGCCTACCTTGAGCTTGTACTGACATCATGCTTAACGTCAGCGTACTCATCGTTCGCAAGCATGCGGTATAGCAAGCCTTTCGTTCTCACCACGGCAATGTAGCCGACGTGGTTGGCCATGATGTTCTTTCTCCGCGCAAGCTCGGCCTCGGTCGCTGGTTCCTCCTCGCCGTCGGGCTCATCATTTTTTCCGAGGTCAGGCTGCTCGAAGGAACTGATTAGCTCTAGACCCACCCCCTTGACGGTTTGAGGAAGCTTCCCCAGGAGCTGTGAAAAAGAAAAATGGAAATTGCTACTAGTGTTTTCGTTGGCTTTTCTGGAACCGCCACGCTAGTACTATTGGGGTGGGGAGATAGCAGTTATCGCCGGCATTGTCGGTACTGAGCACGAGCTTTATTTTGTAGGTCAAAGTGATCGTCACTATGAAAGTCGAACTATAGTCGATGATTTTCGATAACTAACACTCTCCGAGGTCCAAGGGTTGTGGAGACGAGTTTCATTCATATTTCACTGGGTGTGTCTTACACATGAACCAAAACCATCACCCCTTTGGTTCTTTGTTCCGCGTGAGCTGGAAATGGTCGTATGCTGAGTGGGAGGGATCACCGAACCGTTGCAAAAGAGAGGAATAAATGAATGAAGAAGCTTGACGGAAACCCTACACAACGCCAAGGAGAAGCGACTGGGGAGACGCTGGCCACGCAGATTACACGTACGATCACGAACAGGCTGAAAGAAGCTCCAAGAGTTGGTGTTGGCTATTGCCTCTGTAATACTCAGGGCGCTGCTGCTGTAGACCAACCAGTGGGCTTTCTGTTGCCGTCATATCACATGGACATTTCGACCTATCGTGAAACTCGCCTTGCAAAAAACCAAAAGAGACCCCGCGATGAGACAGAGGCAGTAACGCAACAACTAGGCGAAAACCAAAACACAGAACGAATCATGGCCTACGCACCTCAGTTGTGAATTGGTCGATTTCTTCTTGCAGCCTGGCCAGCCCGAGGCGATCTTTCGAGCAATCTCGTCCATGTTTGGCCATGCAGACGGAGGCGATGGCGCTTGTGACGAACGGATTGCTGGTGTAGATCAGGCACGAGAGTTGACATGGTTACCAGGCGATGGCCGGGACAAGAGGGTGGTGCCATGGGTGTGCTCGTGACCATGTTTTAGAGTTCGGCCATAGACCTCACACCCCTACAAAGGCCAAGAGGGGGGCCATACACCTAAAGGAGGTCGAGGTAAGAGATAGTAGAAGGACGAGTAGAAGGAGAGACATAGCCAAAGCGTTCTGTATTGGGTGCGAGAGGGTGTGCCAATCACGAACTGGCACGCAGCGGCGGTGCTGGGGGGGGGTGTACTCATAGTCGTGCATGCCGTAGTCGTGAGACCATTGACCTCGCATCCCTCCAAGCCGGGACGGAGCACGCCGGGTTCTCACCGGACCAGGCTCTCACATCACCAAGCGCGAAGCGCCGTGAGGTATTCGGCGAGTCGCATGAAGGGTGTGCTGCATCCTGATAAGGGTGTTCGGCATCTTGTGCTTACTTCCTTGCGTACGGATGACAGCTGCATATGACTTAATTTATTTTCTGGTGCTTTCATTTACAGAGACAGTTGGAAGCACTGTGTATCTGCCTCAAGGATGCTTGACCATTTTAACACAACGTGGTGCGATGATCCCCCTTGCGCGGAGTGAGGGTTCTCGACCGCGCACTACATGATCTACTCGACCACCACTATGGTTACCGCAAAAACAAAAAACAGAGGGAAAAAAAAAAGGTATCCTGGTTGCCGAGTTCACGAAGTGAATTGGCTTGTTTTTCAACGTCGTTGCCAAGCGACGAAAACCCAACCCCGATGGCAAACACCGGGCGGGGCGGCTTGTTTTACCACGTGGTTGCCATGCGACGAAAACCCAACCCCGATGGCAAACACCGGGGGGGGAGGTTAATAGGAACGAGACCCGACGATGGGGTGGAGTGAGAAACAACAATCGAGAGAGGACAAGCTAGCCGAATAGCCATCTACATGCTGGCGTGAGGGACTTCACACACACACGCACATATTCTGAGATCAAGGTCGGGGATAAGCCTAGGTTTATAGGGTCGCGTTTGAGGTATGAAATGGAGTCTAGATATGCATAGTGCTGTCAAACATCTTGCGACAGCAACCCACATCGTTACCCGAGAGTACGCGGCCTTCCGGTTGCGTTTGCACGGGAGGAGCGAGGCAGGCATGGCACAGACACGTAGACATCAACCTGATGGGAAACAGGATAGAGACAAACTACAACAGAGAGTTGAGGTTGGAAAGGCACGGAGGAGGTGAGTGCACCAATGCAGATCTGCTGCGTGCTTCAAAATGCACATGCTTGATGAGAGCCTACGGTACACCGAGACCAACTGAAAAACAACCTTACCTGGAATTCTCGACGGCACACATAACCGTGGCGATGACTTGCTCCTCGGCGTCCCCGATATCACCGATGAGGGTAGCGAGGTGGGCGTGGCAGTTCCAGCCCTTCTCGATCAGGGCTCTGTCCACATGTACAATACGTCGGGTGTTCGAAGCCGGTGGTACGGGACAAGCGGCCAAAGGCGACGTCTTTCACAAGCAAAGAGGTGGGCGTCCGGTTAGCGCCGTCGATGTGGATGATGCGGTGTGCCTTTTCATCCCCTTTGACGTTGCCAGGTGGTATATACGCTGTACGGTAGCCAGGATTGGCAGTGCCCATGAAAACGTAACGGCAAACGAGGCAACCACCTTTTACCGTACCCCAAGATCCTGTGGGACCTCGGAAATACGTATCTCACACACGCGCGCGTATGCATGTTGTGCATATGTGCCGTCGCTGCAACCCCTTTCACCGCACCAGCGCACGAGCGTTGCGTTGCGTGCTGGTTGGTACTGTTGCTTTTCCATCCCCTCGCCCACGTTGAGCCCCATCCGAAACTCACCGAACCAAGTGCGCTCAAAAGCAGAACCCCTCGCGCTTGCTCCACGAAACGAAAGCCCTACTACTACGGTAGTAGTGGGCCTTGCGGTCGCCTACAACAACCGGGTTTGTTGTTTCATTCCCGCCGCCCATACACGTGGGCCTACGTAATACCGATGCTGTTGACATCACCCCCCCCCCCGGCGGCACACCTGAGTCCGTCGAAGGTCCCTTCCGCCGCAGCCTGTTTGGCGGTTGACAGAGAGTCGATCCACTCTGCCTGCTCCACCGCCTTGCTGAATTGCCCCGACCCGACCTCGTCAACCACCTCTTGCATAGCCTCCGGCCCGCAGCAGCCGCGCAGCAGGAGCCTGACCTCAGGGGGAACCATCTCGGTGCCGCCGTCTCCAGGTCCGCTTTCGTAGGCTGCCATCGGCCCTGAGTCCTCGTCAGTCTCCTTGCTCTTGTACGTGTGGTTGGAAAGCACGGCCGCGGTCTGAGCGATAATCTCTGATTCCGGAAACCCGACAGGTGTGTTGGTGCCGCCGCCACCGCCGGTGTTAGAGCCGCCATGCGCGCCCTCCTTGTACGCATGGAGGACTTTCTTAAACATGTCTGCGTTGCCGCAGAACACGGCGCCTGCCAGCGGTGTGAAGTGTCTCCTCATTGAGGCCGCCTGAATAAGGCAGGGCGGGGGAATCGGCGCCTTTCGTTGCTCGGTGAGGTGACAGTGGCTAGAGGAGGTGAACACGCTACGGTGGTGCCCCTTAATTTAAAGCTGCTCTAACGTCTGCCCAGTACTTCCATGCTTCGCAATAACGTTGCCACAAGGCAACAGATCACATTGAAAAACGAGCCTTTCTCGGTAGTTTTTGTGCTCCCGACCTACCAAAAACTCTCCTGCTTCATTCACATCTAACACAATGGCACAGGAATGAAGCCGAAAGGGGTGGCGAATGACTCCATCGGAAACGACCTCGCATGTTCTTGTCGCCACTCCAATAATGAAGCCAACACCGTTTCAAACGACAGTCGGACCGTAGTCGAAAAATTTTTAACTCCTACACTTTCTTCATGTGCTTGCTCACGTCGGCATTCGGGGTCTGCCCCTCCTCCATCTTCGTCTCGCCGCCGCCACCGGTGATATCGGTTTCATCGGCTGCTCTCGAGGGAGAGACTGGCTTCGACGGCATCCGCAACAAGAGCTCTTCTCTGAAAAGCTTGTCGGCCGCCTCTGCACGTAGATGAACACTATCACCGGCGACACCATCACTTCCATCACCACCGGCTACGCTGTTGCACTTTGTTATCGCGGCCTGGCGATGGCAGGGGGTACAGTAGTGGAGTTGAATCGTTCATTTTGACAGTAGAAGTTCATTCGCTCCTGTCAGCATCATACACTTCGCCCGATCTCTCGGACTCATAAGGATCCCGCGTAGCCTACCCAGCTAGGCTTGCTTGTTGTTTTCCAAAGCACAGCCGCCGGTCGTATACCTCGAACGAGACGGCAGAGGAATACCCGTTACTATCGGTCTCGGACAAGGGCTCCAAAGTGGGAGACGAGAGTGAATTATCTTGACTCCCTCAACGCTTCGATTACAAACCTTTGGAATAGACCGGCGTCCCGCCAATCGTCCAAAACCGGTGGAAACCATGGCATGTGGTGCCGTTGCATTACAAGAGGAGAACGGTTTCTTATCTGACGGCATCAATAGAGAGGTGCGCTGAGAGCGACATGCGCATACACATGAATACATACATACCCAGATGTTTGGCGTAAGCAGTCACAAGTCTTGACACCGTAGGCGATTCAAAAGGAATTTACGAATGTGCGGCCCGGGAACACAGAAATCGAAAAATTGAAAACTGATCTTGTCCCCTCCATCCAAGATAAAGGCTCGTCCGACATTGGCAGGTCGCTTCATAGATCCATTCCTAACTTAAACTTCATCTATCAATCGTATTACAGTTCTCTCCTCGCCTTCTGGAGCGCTTGACACACCGCCTCAAATACTCCGTCGTCCTTGTCGTCCTTGTTGCTCGAGGCGGCCGTGGCGTAGGTCAGTGAGCTGACATTGCTGTCCTTTCCATTGATCCCGCAGAGCACGTTCCATGCCTATCAAAACGTACAAGAGGCCAAGCTGAGGCAAGAGCAAATGCTAAACCAACACCAACGGTACCAGGACACTTAGAACAAGCACGTTTGAGTGTTCAAAGAAGTCCTGACCAGATATGTTTACAGCGGTAGATAATCAAAGCCCCCAGGGTACGAGGAAAGTCTAACTTTGCCGCATCGAACTGTCACCGCGGCAGACATCAAGGCTTCGCGCGCACCTCATCCGCGTTGCTGGAGTTGTCGCGCACAAATTTGGCGGCCCAGCGAACGGCTTCCTTGCTCCCGGAGAGAATCGTCAGCGCGAACAAGGACCCCTTCAACTTGTTGTTCTGGCCACCCTTGTCGGCGCTGTCCGTAGCCTCGCCAACAAGTCCAACATCGGTGCTGCCACTGCTGTTGAAAATTATTTTTTGTTGCCACCATTTTGTTCAACATGTCAAAATTGTCATTTCTTTGTATCGGTAGGGGAAGGTGGTCCAGACACGTTTTCCTAGAGAAATTACACATGAAGAAGAAAGGCTCGACTCTCAGCACCATGATGGCCTGTCCAATGCTTACGTAGGATCGCAGACGTGCCATCGACGTGCCGACTTTTTCTGATCGAAATCTGAGCAAAACAACATGTGGGGTATTATCTGGAACGCGTTAAAACAAATCTGAAAGAAAGAGGGCACACTCACGGCTACAAGTGGGTGCGAAAGAGACGAATGAACGTACGAGAAGCTTCGGAGTACCGACCAAAGACTCTTGGGATAGCAACGAACACCCTGCAGGAGAATCGGCAGGAAATGACTGGCGGGAAAGGAGGAGTGCGTCGTTTCATGCAGCGAAAGAGCTTGATATCTGGCCATGAATACACGGCATGGGCAAGAGCCTTCGCAGCAACAACAGGTACATCCCGGTCACACTCGGAGCGCCAAGAGCGGATAGGACATCGCATGCAGCCAGCGTGGAAGGGCGCCCTTACCTGCCCGCAGTGGTTGCGGAGGCGCCGGGAATGATAGCCGCACCCACGCCAACCGACTCATCCTCGACAAACCCGTGGTGTTTCTTGGTGTAGTCCTCGGCCGACATACGGTCGGCTTGGTGCGCCGCTCGCAAGAAATCTGGCGGGTCCAAGGGGTAATCCGCCTTTATGGCCCAGTACCTGTTATCGGTCAGTTTTAAGCAGCAGCAGCGTGAACTAGAACCAACGCGAGCCAGGGGTGTCGCCATTTGCCTTGTGCTCGAGCGCGAAGTGTCAGCCATATAGTTTCAAACAAATGACCCAAGGCAACCGAACGTCCTTGTAACAACCACACAGCAACCGCCGCAGCAGCAGCGACGAACACAAAGAACAACGGACATCGCCACCGTTTGTATTGTGAGATATCGCAGCGGAAAAAATAATATGCAAAAGAACAACCGGTCGCTGTTGATTGTTGTTGCGAGGCGTAAGAGAGAGAGGACTGTTGGCGCTCTATGGAGGATTGAACTAATATAAAATAGTAGCCATCGAGTCACGGTGGTCATCGCTTCTACCTACGTACGCGACCACACGAGGAAGGGAGAAGGGGGGTAGTTGCCTAGAAAAACCTCAGAGGTACGCCATTCCAGTATGCAGATGTGGCGTGTGACTTGAGTGAACCACTCGACGAGTGACAAGATGAAGACAACGGCTTTGGTTTGAATAATCAAGCAACATTATTTCTATGTGTCCCGGCTTCGGACGCATAGGTAGAGACTGGGTACAACGCTTCGCAACTTAGACAGCGACAGCAAACAGTCTATTTTATTCAAGTGCGTAACGAAATACATCGACATCAATAAAAGGTAAACATTTCACGTTCACCGCCACTGCTACAAACATAAACGTTTACAAACCTTTCGCGCTTGTCAGACGGTATGGCTCCACTGCAAAGGCCGGACGCTACTCGCTCCAACACGGCACGGTCCCCTCCGAGCGCCGCCTGAGCGAAGAGCTTGGCGCATCTCTTGTCGAACTCCTCGGGAGTGAAGGGTGGCGATGACGGGAAACCGAACGCCAGAGCCTTGACCAGGTCAAGGTCGGACCTGTGGGAAAACGGTTTTGTTGTAGATTGGTGGCAGTTTAACTGGTGCGCCAAGTGTTGTTGTTGCTGCTGCTGCTGACGGGGTGGCCGGGCTGTGTGCGGTGGCAAGTCTAGGTTCATTCGCCTAATAACACCTACATTGAGGGTTTCTTTGACGGTTGTGATGCTACTTACTGCCTTGAAGATTCGATCCAGGGAGCGAAAATATTTCCAAGCTGGTCAGAAGACAAGCGAATCTGAAATAAACAGCAAACGCAGGCGTTCGGTTTGTTTGGGAATCCACTGACAAGCTTTGGGGTCAATTCCAATTCGGGTACGTGGACTCTGCACAAATCAAACTCTGAAGTAGATTTTTTCTCCACGCAACGAAAAAGGATATCGCTTGAGTTATGTTGACTACTCACAGAATTTGGCCCCCAAGTCCCACCCTCCCAACTTGAGCTTGTTAGTACCTCTACTTTGGTGCCATTGTTTTCGTTAAAACAGGCCAATAGCTCACCGTGTCCAAAACCCAAGGATCTGCAAACAACAACATACCCGAAATCGAAAAATGGGGAGAGGGGAGCACGGCAAAAAGGGAAGAAAACGAGCTGGCCAAAGGTGTGGTTTCACGCCCGAAAACTCGGGGTGATACAAACGTCCAGCACGTCTGTGGAGCGAACGAACCCGCTCTCACACAGCAGATGTCAGCAAGTTAACGAGAAGCTGTCTGTGATGATGGTGGCGGTGACTAGTGGAAGTCGATTGCCTTGTTTTCAGAACACAGAATTTATAGTCCCTTCCCCAAGCTTGACCGAAGGGATATCGTTAGGATAGATAGACTAGGGACGACATTTTTGAGCCACCTTTGGCAAAGTAGGAAGGAACGATTGGCCATCGGTGATCGGTCCTGTGGGAACAATGCTCCGTCCTGTCGAGGACGCGTGGTCAATGATCTAACCGCTAAGGCATGCAAAACATAAGAGCACGCCCCCAAGCTTGACCACCTCCGTAGCGGCACACAAGTCGTAGCTATAACCACCCTTACCTTCGGTTCGATTTCTCCTCTTGTCCCCTGATGCCATCATAGGCGAGGTTGAAGGCCTTGCCGCATAGACCCGTCGCGTGTACATATATCAACGAGACCAGATCGGGGAAACAACGAGAGGGTGAGTGAAAGGTACACGGATTGAAGGAACAAGACAAGAAAGCGTGCTAAACTCTTGAAGAACGACGACTCGCAATTGGGCGTGCAAACAATCAAGAAACATGGTACCAATACGCGTGAAACGTCTTCCGTTTGCCGGGCCGCATTGAGCCAGCGCCGGGGGGCGTGAAACGACAGAACCGATGAAGATTTTCGAAACAATCAGGCACCGCTGCGCAGCTTCGTACGCCTTCGGTCTCAGGGTTAAACTCAACCGTGATGTTTTCAAAATCAAAGGTGACCACGGTTTGGAAGACGTGATCGGGGGTGGAAAAGGATTAAATCACACGAGGAACAAAAAAATGCTTCAAAACGTGAAAACAACAATTTGCTAGGCTGAAAACAGGTAATTCGCCTGCCTGTCTCCAAGTTGATTATCCACTGGTCTTCGCGAAGGCACGGCCGAGCGCCCATTGTGTGCCATCTACACAAAAGCTGAACTACATCCTCAGGAATGGTTTGGTTGCGATCGTAGGATACTAAAACGAACCACATGGACTGGACGCATCGAGCAGGTAAGACTATGTGATTGTCTTTTGAAGAGTTTCTCGGGTGGCTTGTTGCTCATTGCGAACAAGCCAAGCTACAATTTGAACGGCCGTCACAAACAATAAGGACAGAAACACGCCCAGAAATCCAGGGATCTTCACCTTTATTGGTTCTCGGTGAATTCGGTCAACGTCTTCGTAAAGTGTACTAAACCTCTTGGGGGGTCGTATGTAGTACATAGCCCCGTACCAACTCTCAGGCCTCAGGCTTGCAAGGCGCACAACTGGATCGCCGACCACGCACGAAAAGAGAAACACACCTCGATCCCACCGCGCGCGGCATGCAGGACCCAACACAAGGGGCTGTTCCCTCGTCCCCCCTTACCACCACCGCCTTCCGGCGCTTGGAACATCAAGCGGAGACGGTGACTCAGCGCCGGACTCGCGGCGGGAACGGGGAGATTACCCTCTGCAGCATCAGCACCGTTGTTGACGAGGGCGGTGGAACCACTCGGCGGCGCCCCAGCTAGCAGAACATCGATGCTCTTCTCTAGGCTTGCCCTTGGGTTCCCTTTCCGCCCCAGCGCGCAGAGAGCGGGGCTCCGCCCGTGCCTGCGAGCGTTACGCGCGGTGGGAACCTGGATGTTTTCGTGACGCTCATCGCTAAAGCTACACGTAAGCTGCAAGTCGCCCGCCGTTGCCTTCCGTGACATCGGATGTGACCCAATCAATCACACGTGACACGAATCTTCTTTTCTTAGCGAACCACAGTCAACACGTCCATGAAACTTCTGAGGTACTCTGGGCGGATGGGGTTTGTCCTGGGCTGGGCGATAGAACAACAACACGGCACTCTTCGACGGCAAAGACGAGGCAAAGTAGTACCTTAACACACGCCGATTCGGAAGCTGTGAATCAACCCTCGGGCCTCAGGGACGACTGGAGAAGAAGGAAAGAAAACCAGCAGCACAAGCATCTTCTTGCCTGTCGGTGCGTGTGCTGAGGTACTGCCGGAGGTCGGTGCTCTCGCTGTCGCTCTCGTCGATTACCCACAGGTCCGCTCTCGAAACCACTTCCATCACCTATTTCAATTTCAAATTGATGCAGCACGGGGTCAAAAAAGTTATCTGTCAAGACGACAGGCAATACTTCGAGTGTGTTGCGTTAAAATAACAAAATTGCGAGACGTGGTGTAACAACTTAGGACGTCCGATGAACATAGGAGTGTCAGGCGAGACGAAACCCACCTCTTTCACGCCGAACGCACCACACGTACCTTGGGTAGCATCTCTTCCGTCCGGCCCTCTGCCGCGTGGTGAACGAGGGTCCTACCCTCCGCATCCCTCGCCCGCAAATGGCACAGCCCCTGCTGCCTGCTTGTGAGAGTCTTCACCAAGTGCAGTGCGCTCGAGAAGACCTCCACGCTGCCGGCGAAGCGCGCCACGTGCATAAGCAGCGTCATCCCCTTCTGATCCGTCGCCCTGATCTGCTGCGCCACACCGCCAGCCCCCAGGGTGTCCAAAAGCACCTGGGCGGTGTTAAGGAGATAAAATGGTAGGCGTGGGGGGGGGGGAGGGGGGAGAAAAGGCCACAGTAGAAAATAGGGGAACAGTTAGCTTGCTGCGCCACGTCGGTACCCCTTCCAGGGTACATCCCGGAAAACACGAACAACAACAGGAAATCAACCGAAACTTGGGCAAAAACAATAACGGGGGAGTCGAATATCGCTTCCTTTTTTCGAAACCACGCCCAATGCCGGTGGTAATTCCATGTCCTGCTCGCCCTACACGGACAGTGGGCTTCCTGAGGGAACTCGCCTTCGTGACGGCCTTGAAGCACTCGTCGATGTTCACCGCCTGGAACAGCAGGGGCGCTCCGTCCACGCCGGGCTCTCGGAGCTGGTTCACAAGACCGCCCACGCCGAGCTATGTATTGGGTCGGCGGGGGAAGGGTCCGGTGGGGTGTATGTAGGAGGAGAACAGGGAAACGTGAAAATCAATCCTCTGGTACGGGTGGAAAATCACGCTTTTTACTAAGTAGAGAGGAGAGCCGTCGCGGTAGTGGTCTTTCCATCAAAGAAAACATTTTTGTGTCGTCGGCAGGCACGTTGGTACAGGCACCGGCACGGGCACTGCTCAACCGGCGCTGCTAGCGGGCCCCCACAGAAGGCCTTTTCTCGAGAAACGAATTCTGTCAAGTGAGGTGGAATGCGGGAGCAAAGCCGTAAAAATCGTGAAAGGATCAACGGCGGGTGTTGGGAGCGGGGGGAAGTGAAAACGGAGTCAGCAGGGAGAGGAAGGACGTCACCCTGGGTTCCGAGATTCTCAAACAATCGCATGCCTGTCAGAAAACGCTGAGTTTGATTTCAGGAGGAGCTCAACATAAAACGAACACCACTCCCCCCCCCCGTCTCGTTCCGTCCAGTTCTTTCCAGCAAAACGTTAATAATATCTTCGTCTATCAGACTGCCACCATCAGAGAAACAGACAGTGCTGCTTTCACCACTTAACGTTTCGCCCCCCTCCTTCCAGGAAAGACGAGTCGGCGGCAGAGCTTCTCATACGAGAAGGAACGGCGGTGGTTCTCCTTCTCGAAAAGGCAATGTAGAACGACAAAGGGACGCAAGAAACGAGTATGTACCCCCCCCTCCCCCCCCCTTCCCACTTCTCCAACTGCACACCCATGGGGCACCTTCCATCTCAGCCAGAGCGCGAGGTCTTCGAAGTGCGACGCCTTCCCTAGCGCGGCGGCGTATTCCAGGAGGCTCCTCCTGTCCATGACATCCCTTGCTGACAGGACCTTAGTTGTCGCATCCCTGGAAGCCCAGCTCTGTTGCTGATACGGCTGCCCTGCTTCCCCCTGTTGGTGGTGTGTTGACGCGGAGGCGGGGTCGGTCGATCAACGCGGAATAGGGGGGGTAGCCGTCCGAATCGGTTGTTCGAAGAGTAAAGGCAGCACCGACGGAAGACTACTCTATGAGAAAAGCCTCAGCGGGATATGTGTGTAGACGTCCATCCTTATATCGAAGACTGATCAACCCCACTCAGAGGCGGGTCTAAAGTTCTTGTGTGCCTTGAGAGAAGAACGCCAAAACGCCAGGGGTGTTGGCCTACAAGCTGCACAGGTACAAGAGCATCAGCGGAGAAACTAGCAACAGCATCATCATCGTCATCAGCAGCAGCACCTGGTTGTCCCTGATAGGGGGAACGCTGGTGTCGCAGCCCCCAAGAGGGTGCCGTTTCTCTTCCAGACGCCACAGGTACTTGTTCAGCTCAACGGTCGCGGTGTCGTCATGGGCTTGACTACGACCGTTGTCATCGCCGTTGCTCCGAATGCCGTGGTCGCCAGCTACCCCTGACGCATGCCGCGTAGCCCCTTCTGCAGCGAGCGTGGCTCCTGCTGCCGATACCGGCGGAACTAACTGCGTCGATGCTGCTACATACGCGGATTCGTCAGGTATGTGGACGAGATCTTCCTTTTCGTCTTGCGCTTGACCACGATTGTCTTCGTGATCTGCACCTTTAGTCTCGGACAGGGTGGCCGTTGTTCTTGCGGCTGCCGAGGACATTCTTGTCCCCAGTTCTTGCCCCGCAGGAAGAGGCCTACCGGAGGTTCCGCCGCCGACGCGGTCATTGTTGCCGCTGTTGCTGTTGATACCCCTGTCGGCGGGGTCGTCGTCTGCTCCGTCTTCAGCGATGATCGCACGAAGTGCCCTTACCTTGTCCTGCCGCAGCTTCAGAACAACGAAAATTTGTGTGGGCAAGGCCACATGTCGGCAGCGACGGCGGAACGGGGTGAATAAAATCAGGACAAATAATCGATACATCACGAACGAATCGATCGAGGGGGGCTGTGCCACAAGGATATATCTGAAACACAATGAAGAATGGGGGGTGTACTCGTGTAGACGCATGCCGTAGTCGGTTGACCATATACCTTGCATCCCTACCATGCCAAGACGGAGCAATATGCCGGGTTTTCGCTGGCCTAGGCAATAAACCACAAGGATGAAGCCAGAAGCTGGTCATCGTCCTTCAGCATGCTCAAGGCGGGATGAGGGTGATTGTGGGGGTTGTCCCACGGGGAACACCGTCATCTGTCGCTGTGTTCTGGTCCTGAGTTTCCGGTGTGCCTGCATGCTTTCTATGCCTGCAGGCCCGATTTCCTGCACAAGCTGTGTTGTTTTCGAGCGAGCAACGTGCGCCGTGTGCGTCGTACGCCCATAGTTCCTCGATTGCAGGTTTGGGTTAGCGTGTGCGGGTGCACGATATCCACAATCTCTCAAGACGAGCAGTGATTGGTGGAGACACTTGTCGTTGAGGCTGTCATCAGAAAAACGCCTGGAAAAGAAAAGAAAAGCGTCTCCCATCATCTCAAACGTATTCAAGCATCTGCTTGATGCGAGGAAAAAAATCGATACTCTGCGAGAAAAGACACGAGTGCTGCGTCGTGACTTTCTGAAGCAGTGACGCCCATCAGTCAAGCGAGCTTTAGCGCCCCGATCGTGCGAAACGTACTGCGGCCAAGGCTCGACCGCTTCCATCGTCGCCACCGGCGAACACGGATCGCAGTAGGGTTCGGAGTGGGACCCACCGCTGAAATTTTTGTCGGGACCACCTTAGCATCCTGAATGGTTCCCGTCAATCCCAGCTTCGTAGATTTGTCGGTACTCCGGATGCAAGATGTGCATTTCTTTTTGACACATATTTTCAATTCCTCCCTCTCAAAGTTGTCAAGAAGCATACGAGCATATGCACGCATATCTGTATCTTGTTGAGTCTACCACTGCAGCGCTAAAGTACCTCCCACGAACAAAAACCTGCTCACACTTCCACGTTGTCAAAACAACACGATCCGGTCTCTGCTCAGTACCGTACCTTCTAACATCCGTACGGCTCCACCTGAGGCCGACGCGGACACGTCCCGCGGGTCACGCAACAAATGGCGTCGAACTATGTACATAACATGCTTCTATTTTTCCCTCACATACTGGCTCTGCCGAAACGTGCGGTGAAGTAGCGCACGCCTCGCGATGGTCCTGTGCGAAGTGCCCAACTCGTCATCATCAGCGGATGTCGCCGTCGGTGCCTATGGGAAAACCCGAAGGTAGTTACACGGTGAGCGGGAGAAAGAAGGCAACAACGAGCAACTTGGGGCAAAGGCTCAACCAAACGGAAGTTCTGTTAAATTGGTGCTGTGGTCGTCTCTCGCTCCCCGGCTATGTCGTCACGCCCTGCGATCCTTCTCGTTCTGCGAATGGCGAAAGTGGCTTTTGACTTTTTGTCGGTGGTAAGGGCAAGGAGCACCGCTTGGTGAAGGAGCACGGCTTGGTGCGTGTTTGATGTCATCGTGGCACAGAGTGCGCCAAAATATGCCGTCGACCACCGGCAGGCGTGTGGCAGTGGTGTTGCAAAGGTGCAAGGATAAGGGTCCCGGGGGTCCTGGTCGGTTTTCGATCGATAAGAAGGAACTCTTTATTACGGTGAGAACAAGTACCAACGGCCGAGAAGGATGCAAGGATCCCCATCCTGGTCAGTGTTTTTATCGATAGAAAGTAGCTCTTTCATTTCTGTTTATGATTAGAAGAAGATGCCAACGGCTGCTGTGTGCGGCAGCAACACCTGCTGTTGCCAGTACATGCCGCGCTTTATATCATATGGCGAACAGCAAAAGTTCCTCAAATCATGCGATGTTGGGTCCTACAGGTGCAACACACTGCTGTGCTTGCCTTTCGGATTGGGATTGGCTGTTTCGTACTGTAGTTCAATCAACATTGGAAAAAAAAAAACGGAAATAAATGCAAAATGCCAACCGAGAACCGAGAGCGAAGCGGCGCGTGTGTAGATGGTTCGTGCATTGCAAACACCTTTCTTTTAAAAGACGAAGAGAAACACCCGCGCCAAAAGGGTTTCGGACATGCCTCCCACCCCCGTGCATCAACCGCCCGCAACAGGCGCCCTACATATCCTGCAATTTTCACGCAGCAGTGCGATACGCGTGACGTACATATGCTGCTTGAACAACAAAGAAACGTGTTTTACCAGCAGCTTTGGGCGATTCAAGCAAGGAGAGAGAGAAGGTATGCACAGGGGGCTGCTGAAGCATGCCACACATCCACGTGTAGACTGCTGCTCTGCTGCTGTACGGTATCTAAGACAACCGGCAGCAACCATCTGTGCATCGCGGCCAAGCATGTGTGTCCATCACGCAGTCTGCGGCACAACTGCAACCGTGCGAAACGGCACCATTCGGATTCTGATCTGGACATCTGAACCTAACCAAGGGGCGAGCACGCGGGACCAGGCAGGACTCGCTGAGAAGAGACCACCTAAGCCTATTTGTCGCCGCGCACATTCTCCCTCTTGCCCTTTCTCAGCCTTGGGTAAGATACGCCACCCCCCCAAACAAAAACAAAACTGGACATAATCAACCGTTCCTTGCGGTGTCGGGCCGTCAGTTTTTTCGGGGTGTCCTTGCCCATCATCTTCACTCTCCGCACCTGCATGTCAACCGAAGGCTTGCTCCCCAAGAGCCCGTAACGGCACTGCTCTGTCCTCCCTGTTTCTCCCTTGAAGGGTGTCTTTCTTCTCTGCGCCACGCCACACGTAGCGCATGCAGAACGAGGAGAGAGACGGGAAGTGCCGCCCCGTGCCGCTCTTCCGGACAGATTAAAAGTTCCTTTCTTTTCCGACGCTCCGACGCGCCGACGCATGTTTTTTTTTTTTTTTGGCTCTTCCGACGGGGAAACAATATGTAGTAGACAAATGCTGGATGTTGTGTGTGTCGTTGTTGTTTGTTTTCGTCCTATTTATTATGGCGACAGTAGTCCCCCATTTTTTGTGGTGGGACGTGTACTACACTTTTCAGCGTATGTAGAGTACTACACTGTTCAGTGTATTTTTGGTACAACTACAACCATCCAGGGTCACACACAGGAGGGGGTAAACACCACACACAGGGCTTTTCTCTCCTTCCTTTTTATTTTATTTTCATGCCCCACCTTCCTCCGATGCGGGGTGCGTGCTGAATTTTATTTTTATCGCGAGAAGGGTCTAGTCATCCCTTTCCCTCGTCAACGGTGCTAACGTCGAACTTTGGTACTCACGAGAGCTTTTCAGCTATACAGTATTTCGCTTTCACCCGCAAATTTGGTAAATTTTTCACCCCATGGGGATTCAAATTCAATAGACGACCCGGGCGACCGGTTTTAGTTAGGTGCTGGAAGATGAATAATAACCGTCCAACATCAGCCTCTCTTTCTCTACCGACAGGGAGGGTTCAGGAGTTGGGCGACACAGCAGCAAGCAGTGTCCTGCTTCTGGAGTAGGACTCCATGTAATCTCGCGCGTGTGCTAAGAATCCTTCCTCCCCTCTCTGATCCACCACCACACCAGACCACCACACATCGACAACATATGCATGCATGCATGCATGCATGCATGCATCTTAACAATGCGGAATCGGTCTCGTTAAGCGTGACCCGTATCTCGCATGTATAGTTTGTCACATACTGCTGCAGTCCATGGTTGGAGGGGAAAAAGATCGGGAAAGGATCGGAGGAATTGGCGGATGAAAGGGTCTCATTTCCCGTCTTTGGGTTTTGTAGTAATACCCTGTTGTTTCTGCGGTGCAACAACCACGCTGCTGCTGTCAAGTTGACGCTGTGCTACATTCGCGACATGAAGGAGAGAAGATACAGATAGATGCATGCATGCATGCCCCGTAAGATACAACTTGAAGTTTCAGTTGGTTTGGTTAGTTGCCATTTTGGCAGTCCGCCGCAGGGGCGTCACCACGAATAAACAAAAAGGAAGGGGGGTAAACCCCGCGGGTTCGTGAAGAAAATGGGGTCCTCCAATAAGCTCCCCTCTTCAGGCCTCTAGGGTGACCATGAAAAAAAGTTTGACGTATTTTCTTATTCTTACAATAGGACCTGGCGCATGCGGCTAACAAAGAGGGTTAAGTATTATTATATGTAGGCGCGCCCAACCCACGCTGAAAAAAATATACCCCATTTTGTGCCTATAAACACGCGGAGTTACAGACTATACCCCTTTTGTCACTTCTCCCCCCAAAAATAATTTCTACGATCGTGCAAGCAATTGCACGCAGCACGTACGTACCAACAACGGCGTCACCGGGACCGACCGACCGACCGTGTCGTTGGGCTTAAAGCGTGTAATTATATAGTCACACAATAAGTAGGTAAGCAATGTTTATCGTGTGGGTGGAAGGCTGAGATGGTGTAGTACCAAAAAGCACCTACGCATCGCCGTCAACTGCTTTGCTTACCTATCAAGATACGCTTCGGCTTGTTCGAATGGTATCAATTTACAGGCTACAGGCTATTCGTATGGTTTAACGAACGAGGTGCGGGAGAATCTACCTCCTCGTGGTTGTCGCCTGCCGCTTTGTAAGGAAAACGTTCGGGGAACAAAAGATACAACTATTATTCACCAACCCCACCCGACTTGTAAAAAAAGTAGAGCAGGAAAAGCAATTTTTAGTTCGGTTGGTGAGAGCTTCGTAGCTCATCACCACGCCTGCCTCTTCTTGATGACGAGATTCCCCACTTGGTGTGTGTACTATCGGTAATCGGAACACTCGAACACAACAGCGGAACACTCAAGCAAGAAAAATTGTAAACAAGAGATTGATTGAAGAGAAGAAGCGGAGCAGCACCAGAACCACGGGAACAACACACTACACTCACTCCAGAATAAAAATTCGACTGAATGAACTAGGTAGTGATAATGAAACCCACATAAATAATCGGCCGGTGTTGCATCGCAACCAAACGCGGCCTACTCTGCACGTACTTTACTGCACTTCTTCCATCATCACCGATCGGCAGACTTCGAACATCTTTCCTAGCCAGAATACCTCCCAAGACAACAATTCGGCAGACAACACACACACGTCATCGTTTATGCGACAGACAAAACATTCGACCATCTAATGAAGACAAAATTGCATAGAGCCCACTAAATGACAACTCGTTCGTACTGTTTTCCTGTCTAATATGGATGTATGCATATGTATGTAGATGGTGGACAAAGTCAGGGCTGCATCGCACCACGTCTGCAAGCGGTACTGTTGTACGTAGTAAAAGAGTGAGCACGCAACTAGGTCGGTAGGCCGAAAATCGTCCATCCATCCTTTCCCACCACGACAACAGTACCATATGGAACAGCACAGTTGCAACTGCTTCATGCAGTTGTCTACTCTCCTCCGTAATGTGTCCACAGGTGCACAGAAAACAACAAACACGTTGCCGCCTACTTCCATCTCTTCGCAATCGAGGGGTGGGGGCCCCGTGTGGCTTACTTCTACCCCCCACCCACCCAACCCCGGGCCCCTCGCTACAGGCGATATGACACGCGCAAGCGACATGTGGCGGTGGAAACTTGTCGAGCACAGCAACCAACTAACAACAACGCGGAATCTCTTAAGGCCTCTGCATCCATCGATACATACACGTGAGCGTGAGCCTTTAACCGCAGTCACCTGGTTTCAATCGTCCCTGCCCCCCCCCCCTCCCCCCGCAGGGGTAAAATACCTCCCTTGAGCCCCCCCCTCTCTCTTCCCTATTCAACCTCGAAAACTAGCCAAACTAACAATAGTATTGATATCAAAACATTTTCACAAAAGGGTTGTAGTGTGAAAAAAGCACGGCTGGTGGTGCTGCTGCGTCCATCTTTTCTTTGCACTGTTGAATTTCGTGCGCCAAGCAGTCAGTCGCCCATGAGTTCGCTACAGAACCGCCCAACCACCGGCGACCAAAGAAGAAGCATAGCTAGCTAGCATTGTCCGACATGCGCCGTGCCCAACATGCAAAACTAGACCATCATGGGCATGCATGCGGCCACCGAAAAAACAGCGTCCTGTTCCCGACACACATACACACGTCGGCGTGCCAGTCGTCTACTTGCTGCATCTGCTGCGCGCGGTGGTTCCAGCCGCAGACAACAACGCCAGAGGCACCGATTTGTTGCTGGTTCTATTGTGCCCCTCCTCCGCTCTCTCTTTTTTACTCCGCGAGCAAGCAGACAGAGGAGGCACCACTCCTCCTTTCAAGAACGGATAACGCCTCTCATCTTAGCGGCAGCCAAAAACTGGCTTGCAGCAGCTAAGAGAAACTACAAGTGCATAGATCTCTCTCTCTCTCTTCCGCACCCAAAACCAGGCAAGGAAAATATAAAAAAGCAAGCAAGGTCGTCCTGGTTCGTCCCCCCTCTGCAAGCCGTTTAATTCTTATCGCTTATCACGAGCAAATGTTGCTGTCATCCGGCATCAATCATATCTGCGGTTCGAAAATATACAACAAAATATGTCTTGTCCTGCTGCAGGCTAACTTACAAGTGCGTGCCTGCTCGTGCGCTTTTGAAGAAACAATACTTGGAATCTGGCAGTCACGTCTGTCTGTGCATGGCGAGTCTTGCCCCTCGCACTCTATCAATATCGCTCCCGCCCCCCCCCTTTACCAGCCCCCAACCCAACCCGCCCCCCGCCCCCCGCCCCCCGCCCCCACCCATAGGCGTTCGAATGATTCCACCTTGACTTCACCGTATGCACACATGAAACCAACAAACTGGCGCGCTTGGGCTATTTCTTCACGGGCTCAAAATCACGAATTCAACAAAAACCTTCACCATGACAGGACAAGACCTGACGTGTGACGGGACATGTCGGTAACCGGGCGAGTTCATCCCGGACACCCTTCACGAATCTTCTAGTAGTCCAATTTGCTGCTGCTGTAATCTGTGTGGTGTGACCCCCCTCCCCTCATCTATGTTTTTTCGGAGGGGGGGGGGGGGGGCTGTACCCCTAGTCGCGCATGCCCTAATCGTTAAACCATTGACCTCGCATCCCTACAAAGCCGGGACGGAGCACGCCCGGTTCTCACCGGACCAGGCTCTCACATCACCAAGCGAGGGGGGGGGGGGGGCCCCGGAATTTACACCCCCTTCGGAAAATCCCCAACCCACTTTGGCTTGCGCGCCCTGGGTGGCGAAATACGCCGCATCCCTGTCCGGATCCCCCCCCGCTAACCGCTTCCAACCGGCTCTCTACTTCCTCCCAACCGCACCCCCACCACTCCCCGTCCCTCCCGCTGCCCGCACCGCCGCCGCGTGCCAAAACGTCACCGCCGGTGCCATCACCCTCAACTCTACCACCCCCGCCACTCGCCGCTAATCCTTCTTCTTCTCCCGCAGGGGGGCTCGCCGTCGCCGCCGGGGACCCCCCCCCCCTCCCCCCGGGGGGAGGCCAGGAGGACATTGCCGCCACGGACAGGATGTCGTCGGCCACGCGCGCCGCGGATAGCCGGACGTTTTGGCAGGGGGTCCCGCAGACCTCGCAGGAGGACAGGTACCACCACCGACGACATCACCGCCGGGGTGGTGACCCCCAGGCGAAACGCGGCCTGTTTAGTGTTATTTTTTGTGCGCACGTGTGGAAGAAGGGGCGAGAGGGGAGCGAGAAAAGATCCCCAGAGCCAGGAAGGCCGTGGTGAACGAGGGGAAAGAGGGGTAGTTTAGATATTATGGTATGAGGTAAGGGCAAGTGGATCAGGCCACGAGGGTGAGACATGCACTTCATTGGTCGAGCGGGAATGGTCTCCTCGAGCAAAAAGCACAGCACACACGGTGGACGAAGCAGGGTGGGCGAGCGTGACGGCCAGACAAGCAAACACCGCACGCCAATACAAGAAAAAACAGCAGTGCACGGCAATAGTTGCGGCAACCTACGCAAAACGACAAACGGCACCAACACAATCACGACACCACAAACAACGATGACAACCACGACGATGACGACCACAAAGACGACGGAAGCAACGACAACAAATTTCTTCGCCTCATCGCCTTACCTGTGTCATGTGAAGGGCCAGAAGCTTCGTTCGATAAGAGCCCTCCAGACACTCCACCACCAGAGGCACGACAACCAAGCGCAGCCACAGCCCGCAAGCGCCCGCCCTATCCCACGGCTCCTCCACAGGCACGCCCTCGCTTCTCGCCCCGCCCCCGTCGCCGCCCCCACTAACGTCTAAACAATCTCCCGCGGGGGCTCCGCCGCTCTCTCTCTCTCCCCCCCCTGGCGTCTTCTCCGCGGCGGCAGCGGCGGCTCCTCCGCCGTTCGGAGGCTCCTCTATTCTAACCTCGGCGTCACCACCACCGCTGTCCGGGAACGCCGACGCCGCCGCCTCCGCGGCCGCCAGGCTGCCGCTCGAGCCACCTCCCGCCGCCCCACCGGTAGCTAGCTGCGGCGATTCTTCTTCTCCCTTGAGCGGCACAACGAGACTCCCCGCCGATCCCGCCCCCGCATCAGGAGCAACTCCCGCTGTTGTAACCGCCGCCACCGCCGCGGACGGCGAAGACGACAAGCTCGGCAGGCCGCCGTCCTGGCCGGGGCAGGCGCCCGGCACGTGGTGGAGCAGTCGCAGAGGGCACCGGTCGAGGTCTATTCTCGCCGCCATGATCAGCTGCTCCGCGGCGGAGCGGCGGACCGCGTCCACCCGGTCGAAGAGCATGCGGCGACTCAGGTGCAGCACCTGCCGCGGACGATGCAACAAGAACAGTTGGTTGGTTGGTTGGTTGGTTGGTTGGTTGGTTGGTTGGTGCGAGCGAATGATTGGTCGACGGGTTGAAATTGTTTTTTGCTGTTGCTGCTGCTGCTGGTCGCTGTGGTTGTTGTTGTTGCTGGTGGTGGTGGTGGTGGTGGTGGTGGTACGTTGTTGAAAGAGTGCCTATCGGAGCTTGGACGTTGGCAAAAAGTTAACAACCCCGCGCACACGCGAACGATCGACATAAATCGCGGCGAACGCAAGGGCACCAGAAATAAACTCCCTTATCTCTCTTGTGTCTCTTGAGGGCGAGGACAGGAGCGACCTCAATTCCGCAGGAAATGATTTCCCGCGTGTGAGTAGAGAGCGGGTCCGTACGCATGAACCCAGGTCGCACCTACTTATATTATATAGCTACTGCTGTAAGTCTTAATTCGGTTGTAGACACGGATATCGCATAGGGATTTGAGTAAAATACATCGCATGGGAGCGCCCCAATGAGTCTCTCCAGTATGGTACAGCAGTCTTGTGTATGCAGAGGTGCAAAGGCGAGCCAAGAGGTATGGAACGATTTGACAACACAGCAGTACCAACAGAACGGAGGACGCGCGCAAGCAGCAGGGATTCTAAAACCCAACCCGCACCGCACGTCAGATCGGGAAACCAATACCCCGAGACGGATCGGGGTTACTGAACACCCCGAGAAAACCTCGACCACGCACCTCGTCCCTCAATAGGTTGCACAGGGTGCTAGACACCAAGGACGGAAGCGCCTCCGCTACCGCGGCCCTTACCCTCCACAGGGGACTGCCGTACAGCTCGGCCAAGGCGGGCAAAACGCACCCGACCTGGGTTGGGGTTCGAAAGGAAGAAACAGGTAAAAGACGCACGGGCCCGCACCACAAAGACACAGCAGGGTGACGAATCCGTCCAGCTTCTTTACATGGCCGCCACGTCGAGGGACACAAACTTGACTAATAGGTAATTATATTCCATTTTTATGTTTTCTGCGTGGGACTGGCGCGCTTTTCAGAAAACATACACACAACAAGAGGAAGACTACACGTTCGAGATATAACCACAGCAGCCGAAGGGGATAGTTCGAAGTCTCTACAGTGTGGCGGTGCAATTCGTTAAGGTAGCGGTCAATGCTGCTGCTTGGAAACAATGATCACGGCAACACACGGGCGTGCTATTCGATAAGGTAGTGGTCGATCCTGCTGCTTGGAAGGAACGATCACGGCAACACACGGCACGCACACAAGACACGATGCTGCAATGCACATATGGCAGGAACGCCACCGGCAACACACAGCACAAACCACGACACGATGAAAAAAATCTATTGAGTATTAAATAGTCACCTGCGCCGGCGTCAACAAGCAGCTTCGTCTCAGAACCGGCGTCCCGCCACCGCCGCCGCCACCAGCGGTGCTCCCGCCGCCGCCGCCGCCCCCACACTCCCGGAACTCGCCACCTTGATCGGCACAGTCACCGCCGCCGACCGCTAAACCCTCGTGCCCTTGTCCATCCCCGGCATCGCCCGTGCCCACACACCCGGTTGCCTCTCCCCCCGCCACCTCCACGTAAGATGGTGGTGTCTCACCGCCGGTACTGCTGCTGCTGCTGCTGCTGCTGCTGCTGATCGGTCGGTACGGTTTGGGGCCGGGACCGGGGCCGAGCTCGGGCACCCACCCGGGACGCAGGGCCTGCAACATGGTGCACGCGACGTTCGCGTCGGCGTCCAGGAGGAGCCTCGTCACGAGGACGATCAGGGGGTCGTTGTTGTTGTTGTTGGGACCCGCGCTGTCATCGCCGTCGTCGTCGTCTTCCGCTGCTGCGGAGGCGCTAGCGCCGCCGCCGCCGCCACCACCACCGACAACAGCAGTGGCCCCCGGAGCGTTAGAGGGGAGAAGCGGTTCGCCGAGGTCATCACAGCCGTTGACGGCGTCATCGCTGCCAAGGCTGCCTCCGCCTCCGCAGTCCTCCTCGTCGTGGTCGTCCCGCAGGGAAAGGTCGAGCCTCTCGTCGGGCGTCGCCGTCGCCGCCGCCGCCGCCGCCGCCGCTGCCGCACCAACGCCTCCTCCTTCCTGCTGCTGCCGGCGTTCTTCGCCGGCAGTTGCTCCCGAGCCGTCAACTAGTCTCTCCGCGCCAGCGCTACCGCCACCTGCCCTGTCTCTCCCCCGGAGGACGTCATCATAATCAGGCGGCGGCGTCGAATCGTCCTCAAGACTCACCGACACGGGAGCGTCGCCGGCGGCGCTAAGAGATCGCGGAGGAGGAAGATAATCATCTCTCGAAGAACGTTCCTCAGAATGTTTCTCAGAAGAGTCCTCTTCGGCGGGGGTCTCCACACCCTCCTCCGAGCGGTCGCCCCCACCGTCCTCAAGCAACGCGGCCGGCTCGCAGAGGGCAACCAGCTCACGTCCCCCGGCGTCCACGTCGTCGTGCTTCGCGAACGGAAGCCCCCCCACCACCTCCCCCTCTCCTTGCTGCTCCCCGCCGGAAGTCGTCGGTGCCATGACTTGGACGGCGGCACCGGCGGCGCCCTTGCTGTCCGCATCGTCCAGACCCGCCGTCCTGTCACTCCCGTCCCCCGCGGTCTCGAAGCCGGCGAGGTCGATCAGCTCCGCCGTCATCGCGGCCTCAGCAACGGCATCGGCGGCCGCCGCCGCCGCCGCCACCGCCGCCCGCATGGCCCTCCCGTGGCAGACACGCCGCCGAGGCCGCGGTCCAAACCCAACGTCCACCGCACCATCGCCGCCGTCACTATCGCCCCCCCCTGAAACGCAGCAGCACGTCTCCATGCCGCCACCGGCAGCAGCAGCAGCAGCTCCTCCGACGCCGCCTGCCGCGTCCTCTCCCACAGCCGCGCCGCCGCTGCCGCTGGTAGGGTCGCCCCCCCCCGCCCGGACCGCAGAGGAGCTGCTCCTTGCCGTCGAGGCAAGCGTCGCAACGTAGTCCTCGAACCCGACCATGAGGCGGAGCATCTCGCCAAGGGTAACGGCCGCCGTGCCCCTGACCTCGGCGGCGGGGTCGTCGATCAGGCACCCCGCCGCCGGCATGAGAGCGCCGAGGATACCCTTCCGGGCCTTGCGCCCGGCCAGGGTTAACCTCCCTCTCACGCCCCCCTGGTAGCCGCTGCCGCCGTCTTCTGCCGCCGCAGCCATCCCGCCGCCGGGTGGCGCGTCCGCCCCCGCCCCGCCCACCTCGCCGCCGTCCCCACCAGTTTCGCCGACAACCCCGCTGTCGTCAGCGCCGGTGGCAGCGCCGGCTGTGGCAGAGCCTCCGCCGCCGCCGCCGATTTGGCCAGATTCAGAAGCGACGGCAGAGGAAGAACGCTGGCCCTCCGTCCCCGCATCGTCTCTGGCCGGCTGCTGTTCTGGCGCTCCGGTCTCGTCGCGGCTGCTTCTGTCGGCGTCGTTGGCATCGGTGTAACCGTGGTAGGTCTTGCCGCTGTCCCCCCCGGCCTCCGCTGCCGGCGGCACCGGCGAAGGCACCAAAAACGCCTCCTCGCCAAGCACGACCTCTTCCTCTTGCCCGCGGGCGGCGGCGGCGGCGGCGGCGGAAGAAACGGCCGGGTCGTCACCCAAGGCCGACCTAGCGGGATCGGGAGCCGTGGAGGGCGACTGCTGTTGCTGCTGCTGTTGCTCGGCATACCCTGACATGGCGAAGCCGAGGAGGATCCTGGCCAGCCGTGGCAGGCATCGAATCGCCTGGTGGGTGTTGTCGTCGATGGTGTTGATATCACCGTTGTTGTCGATGGTGGTGGTAATATAGTCGTCGTCGTCGTCGTAAGTTGGCGTCGATTGGATTGTTATTAACGCGGCCACATTCATGACAGTGCACAAACGGGGGGGGGGGCGAAAGGGGAGAGCAGGGGGAAGGCACGGAGACGACGCGTTTACAGATTGGATTGGGAGCAGCATAGAATCGTCCCGGTAACACTACGCCCCGACGCGGGATACGCGTAACCAGCCGGGCTCCGTTCGCAACCAGAGGGACAAGACACTGCAAGCGGACACATTCCACAAAAAAAAAAAAAAGGTGCGTGACCTGGTGCTGGTGCTGGTGCTGGTGCTGGTGCGCCCCAAAAGGCTTTGACTGGGGGCCATCCATTCATCTACGAGGCATCTATCTCTCCACAACGAGACAGTGCCGGCACGACGACGACCAACACCTCCTCCCCACCTCGCAGCGGACGTCGGGGTCGATGTCCGCGACCAGGGCCGGGAGTATCTCAGCGGTCACCACCGACCACTGCTCGCCCAGCGCCACGCACAGCGAGTCCAGCCTGCAGGCGATCTCCACCCGCACCTTCGGAGGAGGGGGAGGGGGGGAGGGGGGGGAGTTGGCCCGGGTGCATTTACTCGGATAGGTCATTGTGGCAGTAGTTTCGGGCGACAGGAGGAGGCAGGTACCAAAACTAAGGCGCAAAAAAAAACTCAGTAAGAAAGAACAATTTTGAAGTTTTCAAAACATAGGCGTCCGTGCCAATTGGACCGGTATGTTCAAGGGTACTGAGGTGAGACCGGAACGATTGTTATTATTGTGAGGACAGCACAACAACAACAAAACAACAAATCCTAGATTGTTTTTTCTAATGCGGAGATGGAGAGGGAGAGAGAGAAGCACAAACCCATAGCGAGAGAAGATTATAAATGGAGAGAAAGGGCGCACCTGCCAGTCGTTGTCCCCCGCAAGCCTGACGAGTATCGGCATAACCTTGCACCTGAGGGCGTGCCCCTCCCTCCCCCTCCTGGCGCTTGAGGCCGAGGAGGTCGACATGCCACCGGCGTCATGCTGTTGTTCATCAACCGGCTCCTGGTCTTCTTGCTGGTGTTGATCATGGTCTCCTTGCCGTTGCTGCCGCTGCGATCGCGGGGTGGACTCGCCAAGCACTGCACACGTCAGACACAGCAGCAGCGATCACCAGTCCACCCACCGGAAAAGAAAAAAAAAGAGTCAGTGGGACACCCGCTCGTTCTGTCGCACTAATCGACCTCCAGGCACAAAAAAAAGGGAGCGGAGCGAGCTTGTCGCCGGTTCAATAGTACTGCTTCAGAGTGCGAAACAATGAAAGGAGTGTATTCCAGGTGCTCGTCGACACCAAAGCATGGAAAAGCCCGCTTATCATCTCCGTACACCACCAAGGAGTTGGTTTGGGCGGAGGGCCCTTCAAACCTCGAGTGATGGATGCAATACCACCCTTGTGGGCCTCCAAAAGAAAAAAAACGCCTACCTGGTACATGAGATTGGGTTGGAGTAAACGGCACAGATACTGTGAGCGCTCATTTGGAGTTGTTGTTGTTGTTGTTGTTGTTGTTATCTTCACATCAAAAACCGTTCCGGTCTCCGCTCAGTACCTTCTGATGTCCGTACAGGTCCAAGTGACGCGGAACGCCTTACGTGATTCCAAGCCACCTGCCCCCCATAGAAATACACCATTCTAGAAAAAAAATAGACGAAAACAAAAAAGCCTGAACTCCGCCCGTCCTCACCTCCTACAAGGCGGTGCCCGATCTGCAGGAGGCTGTCCACGCTCGCCCTCCGCACGGAAAGGTCGATGTCCAACGAGGCTCGCTGAAAAGCAAGGCACACGACAATGACGAAGAATAGGAGTTGCAGAGTGAAAAGCCGGAAACAAAACTACTCGCAATGGGCAGCACGACACACACAAAGCACACAGACTTGAGAGTGAAACGAGTCAATACACTTCACAGATGGCTTTAGCATTTTTGTGACCACGGGCCGAGTCTTTGCTAGATTTTGGGATTAGCAACTGACACGAGTTTAATGTGAAGAAAAACAACAACAACAAACAGTCCGCACGACCAACAAAGAAGACAAAAGACACTTAACACAACCTCACAAACAAACAAAAAATACTTAACAGACTTGGGAGGGTGATACACTCAACAACTAGCAGAGACAGGACGCATCGACAACTAATCGAGAGCGGAAACGATCAACGTCCTTCCGATGTTCCAAAAATACACCACAAGCAGGCTCGGTTCTGCGGGTCCAGAGATGACGGGACTAAAGCGACAACACACTTGGAAAACAGCCAGGATAGACTAAGACTTACCTCTCCGAGGAGCAAGAGCCACCGTACGGCAGACGCATCCGCCACCGCCGCAACGAGCGCGAGAGCCTTCACCGCCTCTCCCCGGACCCCGGGAGTTCGGTCGTGCAGAAGCCGGCTCAAAATGCCCTGCGGGAAAGCAGCACGTAGGATAACACACCCCTTTCGGCTGAGATTTACGCATGGGTCGATGTTGAGAGTTCGATTGTTCAACGACGAAGGGGAAGCCCCAATCAAACTTGCACGTTTTCGAAAAGCTTTTTGGACGACAATGGTTTTCGTGCCCCCATTTTCGGGGTACGTCGCTTTTTTCGCTGCAAGGGTTGGAATTGAGCAACAATTGGATAATTGGTAGGAAGCCAATGTCCCAACAGAAAATAGGAAGAAGGGACGAATTAATCAGGAAGAAACAAGAAGCAAAAGCAAAGGATACGAGGGAAACAAGCAGAAACGAAGAAGACGGAAAACATGGAAAATAGAAGGAAGCAGCGAAAAAGGTATAGGGGGGGGGGGGGGGGAAGGAGGCTGCACAAGAGACTAAAAGCAAAGAAACGATTTTGTCTCCTGCCTGCTGTCCCAACTCACCCTGAACTGGAGCTGCCTTGGCAACGGAGGAACGCTGTACGTCTGGGCCACCAGAGCGCAGCACGCGCCTCTCGCACACACGGAGTTCGACAAGACGAGGCGTTGGGCCAGAGCTGGGGGCTTCGAGAGCGGCCTGCTCGTCCGGCAGCTGCAAC